AATACCATTATTAATATATATTATTATATATATAATAATATTATATTATAAATATATAATATTTAGAATAATAATAATAATTATTATTATTATTCCTTTATGTTTTTATATTATGCGATACCTTTGCCGATAAAAGTATACCAATTTTGTTTTAATTTGACAGGCAATGAAATTTCTGTGCAGCATGGGTCCATCTTGTTATCTGAAATCCTGTGTGTCCTAAAGAGTGAAACGACATTAAACAATTGTAAACAATCCTGATTTTCTCCATAAATGCATTGATAACAGAATAATAACGGTATTAATAAATTCTATCTCTTTCTAGCTTGAGATCGGCAGACGTTCAATTACGTTTAAGAAAGAATTAATGATAGATACCGCAGTCGGTTTCGTCGGAGTAGTCCCAGCAGTCCGCGATTCCGTCGCAGATCTTCTGATGCAGTAGCTGCGCTTTCAGGAAGTCGGCGCACGTACAGTTGGCTTCGTCCTCCGAATTCGGACATTCGCCTAACATGTTGCATCTGCCGCTCGAGGGCAGGCATTTTCCGTCTCTGCACAGGAACCCGAGGCAATCGTCTACGAAAAACGAACACAAATTCTGTGAAATTGTTCCGTCACTGCTAAAAACAGCATCCGGCAAACGAGCATACGCGATGGAACAGATCAACGCAGAGCAATCCATAGCAATCTATGCATTCGATGTCGGACATTTTTTTCATCGATGATAAATTAACGATGACCCTGAAGCGACCGATTTTTTTAGAAAAAACCTTGTACAACCGACAAGGTTATTATGTCCTCCTCGCGGTGTACCTCGGGTTGTTCTTATTCCGGCGTCGCATTGATCGTTTGAAGCGCTGTAACTTCGCGAGAAAAAATCGTGGCGGCTTGATTCGGCCCTCAAATTAAAGAGGAAAGTCCGAATTTTGTGACGTTGTAAGCGGCATGCCCGGAAAAAAATTTTCCAGGTTCATGGAGGCCGTTAAACTTTGTACTCTATCGGTATCAAGAACGTTTCGTTAGATTTAGGATATTGTCGCGGGAATGCGTGATATTAAAAATTGGAATATGTTATTCTAAAGTAGAGGCTTCGAGCTTCAATTTAAGATAAGAGTCATAATTTTGCGATAGTTTTTAACGGAGTTACAGTCGTTCAAAGATCGACAACTTATCGACCAAAAATTAGCGATCCTTTAATTTAACTCTTGAGTTAACTCTTTAACATACATCCAAATAAAAAACGTCGAAAAACCAGTCGACCAGAATACGTCGCCATAAAGTAGAGATTTCAAGCTTCAATATAAAAGAAACTTCACAATTTTACGACAGCTTCTAACGTAGTTACAGCAGTTCAAAGATGGACAACATATCGGTCAGAAATCAGAGCGTCAAAATTGAAAAATGTTCAAAAGCCAGTCTTGCGATTACCAATTCCCCTGCTCTCCTCGGTAGTAGATATCATCTTGTCGGTGCGGTCCTCCATCTTGTTCAGGATCTTGGTGAATATCTCGACGCCGTCGCGGGTCATCGTGAACCCAGCGCTGGAGTTCATCAGGGTCTGATTACCGGTCGCGATGTCCGCGATTTCCTTCAGCTTGTCGAAATCGAACGGTCTCGCGTCCTGCTTCGCGTCCTGCTTCGTACTCGGCTGGTGGGGGAAGTTCGGGGCTGGCCTTGAACCGTTCTTGGCGCTCTTCGCGGGCACGTCGTCCGCGCCGACATCGGCGAGCTGCTTCAGCTTCTCCAGAAGATAGCCGCCCTCCTCGGTCGCCGCGATCTTCCTGTCGGAGGTCTGCGCGTCCGCGGCCGCCTTGGCCGGCTTGCTCGGCTCCTGGCTGCTCTCCGGCTCCTCCCTGAAGGACCGATTCTCCTCTCGGTCGTCCACGACGTAATCCTCCGGTATCGAGAACCGCGGCGTCGAGGTCTCCTCTTCGCTGTGCTCGGCAGCGGTCGCCAGCGGCGCGGAGGCGTTCGCGGCCAGCAGCTTCAGCAGGACGGGATCGTTGCCGATGTTCGAGGACACCTTGGTGCTGATCGAGGTCACGACCTCCACGATCTGCTCGATCCTCGCGTGCCCTCCGTGCCGGCGATCCGCTTCCAGATGCTCCCGCTCGCTCGACGAATGCCGCTTCGTGTTGTTCCGGTCGTAGCTCTGCACGCCGAAGAGCTGCTCCAGAAGGATCGCGTCCTCCGACGAGCTCCTATTCGTCGTTCTCTCCGCGACATTCGACAGCTTCTCCTTGACCATCAATGGCCTGGGCCTGACGGGCCTGCCGACGCCGGTGTTGCTCTTCGCGGGTGCCAACGTGACCAAGTTCTCCACCACGTACGCCTTCAGAGTGTCGTTGTAGACCTTCTTCCGCGTGTCCGCCGACCCTGAAGACTTCGTCCCGTTCGTCAGCCAAATGAGATCGTCATTGCCGTCGGGCGTCTTGTCTTCCAGGCCGCCGGTGTCCACGGTTTCCCCGGGCGTGTGCTTCAACGTGTCGATCTCGATGAACGTGGAGTTCCTCGAGATGCTCGGGGTCAGCCTGCCGGGCGGGGCTTTCGCGTCCTCCGCCTTCAGGATCAGCTTGTCTATGTTGTTGTAGGCCGGCTGGATCAGCTCCGAATAGACCTCCGTGGTCCCCAGCCTCAGGAACTTGTCTTGGTCGTCGATCAGCAGCTCCGGACCGCCGGACTCCGTCTGGCTCTCGCTCTCCGACAACAGCTCGACCTTCGCGTTCTTCCTGTTCACCTTCGCGCCGACCGTCTCCGTCTCGACGACGTCCTCCGGCGACGTCGCGCCGCCTCCGGCCGCCTTTATCCTCGAGTCGGTCGCGTTCGACCGGACAAGTTTTGTTGCAGACAAGCTCTCGTCGCTTATTATGCTATCCGTGACGCCGTTGGTCTTGTCCTCGACGTTCTTCTCGTGGTTGACCACCGACGCGATCTTGTCGACGGGTATCGTGTGCCTGAACGGCATCAGGGTGCCGGAGCTCTCGATCAGGCTGGGCCTCGGCACGGCGCCGTTCAGGTCCGGCGTTTTGTAGCTCGTGTAGACCGGCTCCTGCTTCTTCTTGTCCACCTTCCTGTCCTGCAGCCCGTCGCTCTGCTGTGCCACCGCCTGGATCTCCGAGAACCTGTTCCTCGGCTCCAAGTCGACGTCCCCGTCCACCACCGGCTCCGCGACCCCTATCCTCGACGCCGAGGTGGTCGACTCCAACGGCTGAGACGGCCGCTGCCACTTCGAGGTGCTGGTGCCGATCGTCGCCAACGCGTTCCCGTTCTCCTCCTGTCTCCTTTTGTTGTCCTTCGCCGATACGGCGTGCTTGGTTCCAGCGTTCGGTCCATTGTTCTTGGTGCCAGCGTTGGGCCCATTGTTCTTGGTGCCAGCGTTCGGCCCATTGTTCTTGGTCACAGCGTTTGGACCACTGTTCTTGGCTCCTCCGTTCGACCCATCGGAGTCGATGTAAGACATCGACGGCGACGGGACTCTCCAGCCGGTCTCGTTCTCGTTCGTGGACCGGTACGGTTTCGTGAACGAGGACTCGGACTTCTCGGCCTGCGGGGAAGTACGCAGCTTCAGGTTGTACGTCTCCGGCGGAAGTTGCCCCGAGACCTCGATCTCGGGCCGGTCCTCCGGCCCGAGCGCCGGCGCCGCGGTGAATATCTGGCCGTCCTCCATCAGTCCCGGGATCTTGTTCTTGAACTTGCCGTTCAACCGGAAGTTCACCGTCTCCTGCGGCTAGTAAGGGATGAGAGCGATATTGAGGTTAGCGATGATGTTCTATCGATTTCGATACCAGGGTATTTAATAAATAGCAGGTGTTTTAAAATTCGACTCTAATTCGCGCATAGATTGCACACAAGAATGGACGATTCGGGGGAAGTGATGCGATTATTCGCGGTCTCGAGGCGTGATTTTATTGTTACCGATTGTTAACGACTATCGAAACGAGTCGCGAGGCTCGAATAATAGCAATTAAATTATATAAATAATATAATAATAAATTATATATATAATATTATTATATATATATATATATATAATAATATTTTATCTATCTTTTATCTTTTATTATATAATATTATTATATATATATAAATCTAATATATTATATTTATAATATTATATATATGCAATTATATATATTATAATAGTAGTACTAAGTACTAGATCATAAAGGGACTGGGCTTTTAAAGCTTTTTTTAAATTTAATTATTACTTGGAATGAAAAGAAAAAATTACAAACCCTTGTTAGAAAGCTTTGTTGAAAATCCTTGTTAAAAACCCTCGTTACAGATAAAAAGGTTAAAAAACGAGAAATTTTTATTTTCTCGTTGTTCCAAGTATATAATAGCAAAATTAAAAAAGAAAGCATTTCAATCATCGTTCTATCCAGAAGATTAGATCCCTCTATCATTTAAAAAGAATTCAGCTCATTCGGCTCAGTTACAAAATAGTTATTCTGAAACGCGTTTTAAAAGGTGCGCGAACACTCTTGTGGGCCACTGTACGTCTTATATACAGGGTGTCCCGAAAATGTCTCGCAATCCGGAAATAGGAGATTCCTGAGATCATTTGAAGCGACTTTTTCCTTTGCGAAAATTTCCTCGGAAGCTTCGTTTACGAGTTATTAACGAAAAACACTGACCAATGAGAGGCGAGTTCGGCTGGCGCGCGACGGCCCAGCCAACGAGTGCACGGAGCCCGGTTCCGCTCACTGGCTCGGCCGTCTCGCGCCGAATGATCTCGCCTCTGATTGGTCACTGTTTTTCGTCAATAACTCGTAAACGAAGCCGCGGATCGCATTTTCGCTAAGGAAAAAGTTGCTTCAAATGTCCTCAGAAATCCCCCACTTTCGGATTGCGAGACATTTTTGGTACACCCTGTATATCTATACAATTCAGTATCGTTACGAAGTTTGTTAACTGGTATCTACAGGTATCGACGCGGCGTCGTACTCAGCATTACCTGCGGCACGACCCTGTCGTGCGGGAAATCAGTGTCCTCCGGGTCGAATCCCGGATTCCTCAAGTAGGTGTCGAACGCTTCCGGCGTCGTTCTCGTCGAGGAAACCGGCGGCGCCTCGCTCGCGACCTTGACGGCAGCCTCGGGGACGTGCCCGCCGGTGTTTGCGTTGCTGTAATTCACCTTGTAGTTCGTCCTGATCACGGTGTCCGGCAACAGCTTCAGCTCGGTGTTCACGTAGCCGGGAACGATCGGTTTCCACGGCGATGTCTCGAAGTCCGGCTTCCGGAAGTCCTTGAACATGTCGTCGGCCAGAGTCGTCGACGCCGTCGACGTCGGCACCACCCTCTTCGCCGGCTCCTCGGCCGTCGACGGACGTCTCTCCGCGTGACTCGTCTGATTCAGCTTCTCCTTGATCCTCAACGGCGTGGTTTGCGCGCTTATCTGGCTCAGCTCGGTGGTCGTCGCGACCGACGACTTCGACAAGGGTTGATCCGGAGCCGGTGACGGTTCTTTCGTCGACCCTTTGATGCGCAACTGCGTCCTCACGACCTCCTGCGACCCGTTCGACTTGCCCGGCGACGTCGCGTTCACTTTCGACACTTTGTACGTACCCTGGATCGTCGGTATGTTGCTGAAGTCGATCTCCGGCTCGCTCGACTCCGGCTTGCTCGGCTTCGGTTTTACCTTCGGACTCGTGATCAGGGAACTGTTCCTGCTCGGCCGGAACAGACCGTTCTTCGTGATCATCGCGTTCCTCTGCTGGGCTTGCCTCTGGTTGCCCGACGTGTCTGGATTTATTCCTGGAGCAAAGGAAATCGTTAGCCTTCGTCGAGCACTTATTTTCAAATATTTTGTATGTACATGCGGCAAAAGAGATAGTAAATTTGATCGAGGAGGAGAGAATAATTGACTAATTTTGCCGTAGAGAATAATTGAACAATTTTGCTCAAGAGAACAATTTAATATATTTTGTGAAAGAGAAAATAATTCAATAATTCTGCCGAAGAGAAAATAATTTCACAATCTTGCCGAAGAGAATAATTTTAATAATTTTGTCGAACAAAAATAATTGAATAATTTTGCCGTAGAGAATAATTGAACAATTTTGCTCAAGAGAACAATTTAATATATTTTGTGAAAGAGAAAATAATTCAATAATTCTGCCGAAGAGAAAATAATTTCACAATCTTGCCGAAGAGAATAATTTTAATAATTTTGTCGAACAAAAATAATTGAATAATTTTGCCGTAGAGAATAATTGAACAATTTTGCTCAAGAGAACAATTTAATATATTTTGTGAAAGAGAAAATAATTCAATAATTCTGCCGAAGAGAAAATAATTTCACAATCTTGCCGAAGAGAATAATTTTAATAATTTTGTCGAACAAAAATAATTGAATAATTTTGCCGTAGAGAATAATCGAACAATTTTGCCCAAGAGAACAATTAAATATATTTTACCGAAGAGAAAATAATGTCATAATTTCACCGAAGATAATAATTTCATAATCTTGCCGAAGAGAATAATTTTAGCAATTTCTTCGGAAGACAATAATTGACTAATTATGCCGAGGAGAATAATTGTAATAACTTTATCGGAAGAGGATAACTGTAATAATTTTGTACGAAGAAAATAATTGAATAATTTTGCCGTAGAGAAAATAATTTCATAATCACGCCGAAGAGAGAATAATTTCATAATTTTGCCGAGGAGAATAATTTCATAATCGCGCCGAGGAGAATAATTTCATAATCGCGCCGAGGAGAATAATTTAATAAATTTGCCGAAGAGGAATAATTGGTGTCGCGTTTCCTGCGCCTTTAAAACTGGTCTACGGGAACCCGCGGGCCGGAGGTAGCAGGCTCGGCGCGGATTTCTTTTGCTTATTACCGCGATTCGTTAGAAAAACGGATGTATCAATTTGAGCGAACGCAACCGATCGAACGTCCCGTAAAATATGACACGAGAGAGAGGAGCGGCAATCTCGGTGTTATTATCCTGTCAGAACGATACGCGCGGCATCTAACGGATACGCACTTTTTACCGATATGGTGGTGAGGTCCAGTTCCATGTCTTTGAACAAGGAGGACGTCGAGTACGTCTCTTTCGCGATAATGTCCTCGATCGTATCTTCGACGTTCGTGATCGATCGCGGTATCTTCCTCCTGTCCAGGTAGATCCTGAAGAACACTTTCAGCACGCCGCTCTCGAATTTGTCGATGATCGTCTTCTGATAAGCGCTGCCTAACACGCTCCTTCGAAACAGCAGCTCGAACTGAAAAATCACAATACGTACACGTACGTACAGGGTGTTCCAAAAATGTCTCGCAATCCGGAAATGGCGGGTTCCTCGGATCATTTGAAGCAACTCCTTTCTTTACAAAAATGTTCTCCGAGGCACCGTTAACGAGTTATTAACGAAAAACCAGTGACCAATAAGAATCGAGTACGGCCGACGCGAGGCGGCCCAGCCAACCAGCGCGCGAAGCCCGGTTCCGCTCATTGGCTCGGTCGCCTCGCGCCAGCCGAGCTCGCCTCTCATTGGTCACTGTTTTTCGTTGATAACTCGTTAACGGTGCCTCGGAGAACATTTTTGTAAAGGAAAAAGTTGCTTCGAATGACCCGAGGAACCCGCCACTTTCGGATTCCGAGACATTTTTGGGACGCCCTGTATAAACGCGTTGCATTCGTGTACGCGCGAAGAAGAACAGAGAACCGATTCACAAAGGCTTCCGACACTCACGATATTTTTGTATTTTCGCTCCTTCTCACGGAACACCATGCTCGTGTTCAGCTTCAGCATTGGGTTGTACTTCTCCCCCTTGGCCACCCTGAAGGTGCACGAGAACCCGACGATCGCTGAAATCATTCCAAACGTCTGCTGTTTCGGCGATCGCTTTACAGTAAATTTTCCCTAACCGACGCGCAGATTGCGGGGAGAATTTATTTATTAGTTTAATAATTTCACATGAAAATGTTTCAATCTAAAATATTAACCTCTTAGCTGTGGATGACGTGTATACACGTCACAAGGAGCAAGGCAATTTTATATCTTGTAACAAAAATACTTCTTTTACGATTTAGGTTAAAATATTCATAAATTTCGCACATTTTCCAACAATTGTAGAGCAACTTGCCGAAAGAAACTGCACCCAGTGTGATCGTTAAAAACGTATATAAAATTGATCTTAGAAATAGATCGATGCAGCTAAGTGGTTAAATAGTTAATTAAATTATAAGCGTTGAGTGGAAATATTGCGATTGATTAGTTTGTTTATACTAAACTCCACAGCTTTTTCTCTGTATTGCCATCTAGTGGGAAAAATACGCACAAAAAAGGAAAAAGTGACAAAAGAAAAAAATCAAAAGCCAGTAATTAATTCTAATGTTTATAAAATGACGTGTGGATATGAGAATTTTCACGAAGATTCGCAATCATGATGTTTCCATCGTTCGATAAAACGATCAAAAGTGAATTGGTTAACCGTAGTTAACCAAGATCGATGTAAAAAATGTAGGAAAATGTTCTCTTACCATTTTTCGAGTCTGTTCGAAGAGCTGAAACAAAGGTTGATTTGGTATGAGTATTAAGACGCACACTCGTTAACCCCTTGACTATGGCAGACTTTGAGACGCACCGGCCATACCTTACGGCAGGAATTAAGTTACGACGTACGCCGAGAACGGCGAACTTTGCGCGAACTCGCGAACTTTTCACATTTTCGTGAGAACACATTTCAATGATCAAAACACTGAATTTCACTACGTTGAAACAATATTATTTCTTTCTCTGAACCGAATTACTGTATACAGGGTGTCCCAAAAATGTCTCGGAATCCAAAAGTGGCGGGTTCCTCGGGTCATTCGAAGCAACTTTTTTCTTTACAAAAATGTTCTCCGAGGCACCGTTAACGAGTTATCAACGAAAAACAATGACCAATGAGAGGCGAGCTCGGCTGGCGCGAGGCAACCGAGCCAATGAGCGGAACTGAGTTTCGCGCGCTGGTTGGCTGGGCCGCCTCGCGCCGGCCGTACTCGATTCTTATTGGTCACTGTTTTTCGTTAATAACTCGTTAACGGTGCCTCGGAGAACATTTTTGTAAAGGAAGAAGTTGCTTCAAATGGTCCGAGGAACCCGCCATTTCCGGATTGCGAGACATTTTTGGGACACCCTGTGTATTACACATTTAATATCAATGTAAAACATCTTTCTCGTCTAACTGAGATAAGATCTATCGGAATGAATATCGATAAAATTTCTAGAGCGCCCATAGGCGCCCTCCGTGTCGGAAAATCAAACTATTATACGTCATGCGCTTATAGCGCCCTGCGTTGGGCGCCCTCAGCGTCACAAACGCAAAATTTCTAAGCGCCCGCAGTAGCCGAGAGGTTAATAGCCGATTCGACCAACAGAATTATGTACAAAGCGGTTACGTACCTCCCATCCATAACGCGAGGCCAGCGATCGCGAACACTGCAATTAATACTAGCATCGCGGAGATAATTAACATTGCACTGCCCACTTTCCACGTGGTGCTGCCTCTTTGTTTCTTCGACTGGTGCGGCGAGACCCTCGACCATGTTGACCGCGGCGGTAAGTAATAATCATTCTGCAATCAGACATCAAAGGAGGCACCTATCAGATTCGTATACGTACAGTCGGCCACGAAAGTGCTCGCACGCTTTTCAAAACGCGGTAACTCTTCCCAAAGTGGACCGAACGCGCAGGCTTCGTTAAATTTTTTTCGGGGATGCCGTTCGCAGCGGAATAAAGTTCGATTCTTCCTCTGCAATTTCGAAAAAAAAAGAAACTCGGCTGCGATTTTTTTTCGCGAAGTTACAACCCTTTGAAGCGACCCATGCACGTTTGTCGATAATTATTCGTGCGATCGAATCTAAATGAAATTTATTTCGCGCATACCTTATAATATGATTCAACTTCGATTGATGATAACTTCACGAAAAATCATCGTAGGACGATGACGCTTCTCTTAAATTACAGCTCGAAACCTCTACTTTCAAACACCCTTTCCCGATTTTAATTTCGACACACCCTCGATACTGTAACCATTCAAACGCGAGGCCATGTTTGTCGCATCGAAAATTGCCAAGTTCGTCGAAATGCACGAGCTCTGGAAAATTTTTTCCTAGGATACCGTTCGCGGGAGAATAAAGCTCGTTCCTTCCGCTTTAATTTGAATAAAAAAGAAACGCGGCTGCGATTTTTTTACGCAGAGTTACAGGACTTTGAAGTGACCCTTGCATCGTCACCCTGCGATGACTTTTGGCAGAGTTATCGACGAATGTGCATGGGTCGCTTCGAAGTGCTGTAACTTCGCGAAAAATTATCGTAGCTTGACGATCTTCCTTTCAAATTAAAGCTCGAAGCTTCTACTTTAAGACACCGGTTCTCGATTTTAACTTCGTTGCACCCTCGCCGCTGGAACCATTTAATCGCGAGGCCACGTTCGTCGCATCGAAAATTGCCAAGTTCGACAAAATGCACGGACTTCGTCAAATTTTTCCCGGGGATGCCATTCACGGGAGAATAAAGCTCGATCCTTCCTCTGTAATTTGAAAAAAACGAAACGAGGCTGCGATTTTTTCTCGCAAAGTTACAACACTTTGAAGCGATCCATGCATATTTGTCGATAACTCTGCCAAAAGTCGTCGTAAGCTAACGATGCAAGGGTTATTTCAAAGTCCTGTAACTTTGCGTTAAAAAGTCACAGCTCCGTTCCTTTTTTTTTTAAATTAAAGAGAAAGAATCGAACATTATTCTCCTGTAAATGGCATTCCCGAGAAAAATTGTCCAAAGTCCGTGCACTTCGTCGAACTCGACAATTTTCAATATGGCAAACATAGCCTCCTATTTAAGTGGTTACAGTGGCGAGGGTGCGCCAAACATTAAGATCCAAAAACATTATTTTAAAGTAAAAGTTTCAAGCTATAATTTAAGAGAAAAATCATCATTCTACGATAATTTTTCGCGGAGTTGTCGTCGCACAAAGTCGGCCAATTTTTCCCCCAAATTTGTCCAGATGTAACTTTGTTTTCAGCAGTGCATCGACTAATTCTTGATTTTATTTTTGCAGTTCAACGAACGATTTGTACATCGATCGCATCGTTTGTTTCCGCGGGATCCTCGCGGAGGTCCGGCCGGCACCGAATTAATTCAGCCTCTTCGAGAAGGGTCAGGCCGTCGCTTCGATCAGCGACGCTGATTTATGCGATTCTCGTTGACAATGAGTCAGCCCGAGATCTGGTCAGCGTGCACCGAACGATAGCGATCTGCATTTGGGTCAGCGGCTCTTGATAACCGACACGAGAACTGCCCGTCTCATCTGCATAGATCCCGCGCGGCGGGATCGGTTTAGCCTAATCGGCCGATATGTTAATGGTTCCTTAGAAGTTTTAGCAGTCGGATGAAATTGCCGTCCGGCACAACGTTCGTCCTCGCGCGCCGCATTAACGGCCCGCCGATAAAAGCTGTCCGTCGGTTCTCGGTTCCCAGAAGAGAGTTTTCGTCGAAGGACCGTCGACCGTGCGCGCTTAGATCTCCGGCGACGTTTATTTAACACCATGATGTTCGGTGGCACCGCGTTGGTGCCATGCAAAAACTATCCGCTGTATGCCGATGGTAGCACTTCGGTGTCATTAAAAAACAACAACTGAAATAACATTTGATCTACAGGTTGTCCCAAAAATGTCCCGCAATCCGGAAATGGCGGATTCCTCGGATCATTTGAAGAAACTTTTTCCTTTACAAAAATGTTCTCCGAGGCACCGTTAACGAGTTATCAACGAAAAACCAGTGACCAATAAGAATCGAGTACGGCCGACGCGAGGCGGCTCAGCCAACCAGCGCGCGAAGCCCGGTTCCGCTCGTTGGCTCGGTCGCCTCGCGCCAGCCGAGCTCGCCTCTCATTGGTCACTGTTTTTCGTTGATAACTCGTTAACGGTGCCTCGGAGAACATTTTTGTAAAGGAAAAAGTTGCTTCGAATGACCCGAGGATCCCGCCACTTACGGATTGCGAGACATTTTTGAGACACCCTGTAGAGTATACCGTCCGCGTCCGATTCTAACGTCGGGGAAGCATCGCGGAAGGTGCAAAGGTTCCCGCGAGCCCCGGCCCCGTATGTCTGATAATAAGGCAAACATTCAGGTTTCTCCTGGCGGAGGCCTTTTCAGGGTTACGCGAAACGACTGTCGATACTGTCGACGATAATGGGGATTCTAACGGCGGGCTCTCCGCGTCTACGGCGAGCCGCCGCCGTCGCGCCGCGACGACGCGGCAAACCCTCGGCCTTCGACGGAAATTGCATAGTCGGACGGCTCTTTGTTGTTCGTTGTAACGATCTACGGATCGGCTGGATCCAATGGGAGGGAACCATTTAATGGGAAATGTCAACCCAACGTTTCAATGCTGACTAATGAATCATACTTGTGCGGCTAATTAACGCTTGTACGCTGCTCGAATATCCGTCGCGTCGCACGTCGGGTTCGGCTTTTATAGTATAAAAATTATTTTGACTTTTTTTTTTTTTTAGTTATATAAAATTTAGTCTTGTGACTCGTACAATAATTAGACCTTTAACAATGTTTTATATCCAAGCTTTTGTAATATAAAAATTATCTTGGAACGTGATGTAACCATTTTAGTTATATAGAATTTAGTCTTGTGACTCGTACAATAATTAGACTTTTAACAATGTTTTATATCCAAGCTTTTGTAATATAAAAATTATCTTGGAACGTGATGTAACCATTTTAGTTATATAGAATTTAGTCTTGTGACTCGTACAATAATTAGACTTTTAACAATGTTTTATATCTAAGCTTTTGTAATATAAAAATTATCTTGGAACGTGATGCAACCATTTCAGTTATATAGAATTTAGTCTTGTGACTCGTACAATAATTAGACCTTTAACAATGTTTTATATCTAAGCTTTTGTAATATAAAAATTATCTTGGAACGTGATGTAA